AACTACAGAAGAAAAGGAGAGTAATTGGGTACGTACGAATGAATGGAATGAAAGGTAGTGGGTAATGGATGGCGCGTTCCACGGTGACGCGTTACACGGTTGGCGCATTACAAGGTGGTCCGACTTATATTAAGGGCCAAGGATAATCCCCAAAAACATGCTCACCACTTAATCAACCAATCAAGATGTATGACGCTATTGCAAGACCCACCCCCAGACCGAATCAGGTTAATATAATTGGTGGCCTTCTTGGCGCAGCACGATTCCTCCGTTGTATTCTTTCCGGAGGACATGAACACGCCAGTCCGTCTTTCTTCCTGCATTCGCAGAGAATCGTTATTATTTCTCCGAGTCTTCAGCTTTCTTTATGGAATCAACAAGATATGGATCACGCTGAGAGAGTCATTGGAGTACACTCGAGGATGTATCCGCAGATGGCCGTGGAAAGTCACGCCCTGCCCAGGATCAAATACTCTCTATCCGAGTGTTCCCATACTACTTTGAGTTCAGAGGCCATCCCTTCCCAGCGGTTGTACCACAAAGTCTAGTCCCAGCTGGCAGAATGCAGATTGGTGAATTTTTCAAAGTCGGTTCCATACAAGACGAAGACTGACAGTGTAGATGCGCTGGAAGAGGAACTGTAACCTCCAATACGGTTCAGATTATGCACTTTCATTACAACCGCTGTCACAATACCCACATTACCAATCTGAATGAGGCTCTGCAAGAATATGCAAAAGAACTATCTCCCGGCAAACCTGATCAAGCAGCCTGGACTACAACCCAACCATCAAAATTCCAAGTGCTTGACCTCTTCAAGCTTAACCGCTTCGTTCGGTACCAGACAGGGCAGAGGAAAGACAATTCGAGGGCGCTGTAGGCCCCCTCCGCGCGCTAGGGTGTTCGAACCTTTGACTTGACTACATATAAACCTCCCTTTGTTAACTTGGTCCTATACTCCATGACCACTATAGTGATGCACGCGAAGGGAGCAAGTTTCTTCGAGGATGTGGCACTGGCAGATTGTTGAGCAGATTTTTGTAAAAGGTGCTCACCAATCTCCGCCTCCGCCACGACAAGCCCACTTGGAATGAGGGGGAGATAGTGGCGCAAGCGAATGTACGACAGCAAAGTGATCCAGCTCTCCCCCGTTGCTGTAAGTGATCACAACTTCGCTTGCTCAAGCACCCTATGTTGCCGCCAAAGTAGTCCCGTCCACAAGACCATCGTCGCAGTACTCAATTTAGATTCAAGGACCGCAGATGATTCGAGTACAAGCAGAGTTACCGGCCCTAAATAAGTGTCTTCGTTTCATGAGAGGCGGGTTTATTCGTGAACCTACCACTGCTCCCACATTCTTCTCTTTTCCTCCTGCCACATGCTCAGCCAAGTAGACTCCAGCGACCGTGTCGACCATGGCGTTGATATTGCTTCTATTCTTTGCGGCCCTTACATGCGCCGCAGGAAACGCTTCCTCAATTATTGACTACCTGAACGACAATGACGGCACCTCTACCTTCGCCTCATACTTGGCCAAATATCCAAATTTATCAAAAACGCTCGCCAGCGACAACATCACGCTTCTAGTACCCAAAACTTCTGCATTCAATGGAGTCACCAATGTCTCCGAGGCGCTCTTGACCTACCATGTCCTGGTAGGCGTCCATCACTCATTCAACGCCGACGCGTTCCAGTATATCGAAGCACTCCCCCAGCCCGATGACGCCGATTCTTCTGAGAACAAAACCCGGATAGTGATTGCTCGCGGAAATGCATGTTCGTCCGCTGTCACTTTCTGGTCCGGCAACAGTCAAAAGAGTCGTTCAGATGCGCCGGCAGTCAACTGCACCAACGGCGTGGTTTATACCCTGCCAAGCGCTCGAACTACCCCAGAGCTTCGACGACAGCTGCAACCACAGTGCATTAACTGGCCCACCCTCGCGATTTCTAGACGCCCAAATTCATGCACGTAACAGTTCGGCGCAAATCATCAACGACGTATCCAACGTGACCATTTTTCTTCCCATCCCAGTGGGATATACAAAATGCTAGTAAATATAAGTCTGAGAAAGGGCAGGAGAGTTTCTTGAGTAGAACGTACCTAACGTTGTCCGTTAAGAAAGCGGGGTTCGTGTAATAGTGTTCTGGGCCTCATAATAGTAGGTATGCTTTTCCTCAATCCCCCCGCCGATTCCTAAATTTTTGAAGCGCTTTCAGCATTTTTGGTGTAACCGATGGTCTTGTTCTCTGTAAGGCCTTGTGAATGTGTCCTTCTGTCAGTATTATCTTCCTAGGCTCCTCGCATACTTCCTCTTCAGTCGACGGCGTTTGATTCTTATCCACCTCGGCTTGGGCGATCATTGCAGCCTGGATGCAAAGCGAGCGCAGGTCGGCACCAGAAAAACCCTTTGTGTGGATAGCCGCTAGGGTAGTAACGTCGACGTCTTCAGCAACCTGTTCCTCCTTAAGATATATATCCAGAATGGCCTTCCTGCCTTCTTCATCTGGAAGGCCGACGTGGACAGTGTGAGGCAGCCGCCTGCAGATTGCATCATCTAGGTCGCCGGGTCGGTTCGTTGCAACCAGGAGAAATGGGTTCCCCCCTCTTTGTTGCAGCCCATCGATCTCTGTAAGGAATTGGGCCATTTGGCTGCGCACCCAATGCCGATCATTCGATTGTCGCCGGCGGAGAAGTGAATCTCCTTCATCCAAGAAGATCACACATGGATCAAGCTTACGAGCCAGAGCAAAGACGGCCTGTATTTGTTTTTCGGTCTCGCCAATAGCTGAACTCTCCAGATCTGCTGGAGTAACCGCAATAAAATTGGATGCGGATTCTTTTGCTATGGTTCTGGCAAAGTGGGTTTTTCCTGTTCCGGGTGGGCCGTAAATTATTGCCCCAGAGATAGACGCCTTCGCCAGGAGACCATAAGTCCTCCTACTACCGCGCAGCGATAGGAGCTGATGTAGACTCTCTTTGAGCTCTTGATCGATCCAGAGACTCTCAGAACCGGTGGTGAGATGTTCTAAAAAAGAGTCAGCATATTCTTATCATCATAATTTGTTTTAGTATACCTCAGTAACATTCCTGAAGTTCTGACATACCTGGGTCGACAACGCAGTGAAAGAGGTCCCTTTCGACCATACTACAACTTGGTGATATGCGATCCAATATCCCTGGTACCCCTGACTTACCCTCCTCTGTGCTTTCCTCACTCTCATCTCCGGAGCCCTCACCTCCCTCGCTCCACCTATCGTCGTCGCTCTGATCCAAATTTGCAGTAGAGATGTCCTCGAATTTATTATTTTGCCAAGCAGAGGCATATTTCGTGAGCGTTGTTTGATTCCTGGCATGTCGGGCGATAATCTCAAAAACGTAGTCCATCTCGATCCCGGACAAAGAGCTGATACGGGCACAAATCTGCCTCGTAAGTCTTCCGATAGTCGTATTTGACCATTTTTGAGCGTCAATTTTTATGTCTTCTGAGTCAGGTAGCTCCCACATGGCGTGTGGCAATAGTTTGTCGCTGTCGAGCTTGTGCCTAAGGGTCCACCTTAAAGCTCGACGTAATTCCCTCGACTTGCTGGTCCAAACATGCGCGTTCCTATCTCGTTCGGAAGCGACCCTCGCCTTTTCAGTTGCCTTGGGAACTAAAGGAATAGTGCTTTCACCCCTCAAGTAGAGGCTATCCAGCACAGTATCCATGAAATCCAGTTCTTTGATTGTGTGCCTCGGTACGGCAGGGACTCTGGTGGCTATCACGACGGTTGCCTTGTTTTCGCTCCGCCGTTGCTCTATAACTTCGTGCAAGTGTCTCCAAAAAGAAGGGGATTGGCTGAGACGTTGCCCTAGTTTCTCGAGGTTCGTTAGATGTACGATGAGTCGAGGCGCTTTAGATGATGACTGGGAATGACCGCGAGTGGTTTTCATTTCGGCGGCACTAATTATAGCATTGACGATGTCTTCCATGGAAGGTTTCGACGATCTATTCCTGTCTTCATCATCCTTGAAATACCACTCTATGAATTGATGTGGATAGTCGGTATGCTTTTCGGGCTCTGGATGCTCTTCTGGACAGAAATGTTGGCACAGGTCATCGAGATCTTGTACATCTAGTGTTACAAGGTCAGCCCCGAGTTCTCGGGAGAGGTGGAGCACGAGATTGTCCAAGAAGGTCAAATATTCTTGTTTAGCTGAGTGAAGGAGGAATGCAGTTGTGTTCAGCCACGTGCCTGACGGGTCCCCAATACTGTGTGCATCAATGAACCCTGAGAGGATTGTGTCGTAGGTCTCGGAGTACAGGTCGCAGCTGATTTCATAGTCATTTGCGAAAGCCATTAGACATTCAGCCGGTGTCGTTCCACCCATTGAATACTCATCTCTTTTATTCAATTCACTCTCGGCCCCTTTGACCGAGACATTATTATTGCCATTGATTTGCGTTTCGCTTTCGAGGCCTCTCTCCTTCAGGCAACAACATCTGGTCACTGGCAGTGACTTGACCGACTCGTTCGCTAGTATTGTATTGTTGTCGAGGAACCAGTCCGGCAGCGGCAGCGGGTTTTTTGAATATTGTTGAGACGATTTGTGGCTTAGCCGCTGTGACGATGTCACTGCCTCGTCAAATTTTGAAGCAGCTTCCGGATGATTTTGTGTCATCAGAATTGCGTCTGTAGAAAATTAGGCGCTTGAAAAGGACTTGTCTAAGTGGTACGCACCTGGCATAATCAGCCTTGTAACTGGGGAGCCTGTTGGATTATGAGCAGAGATATATCGATATTATTGACAGTTATAGCATTGGTAAAAACAAGTGAGGGCGATTCGCTGGTGGGAAAGTTGAGTTGTTGACTTTCCAGTTTAGCAAGAGGTAGGTTATTCGAGATTCAAGTGATATTTATAAATTTTCTATCATTCTCTGGACAAGATCCGTCTCTTCTGCGAGCTACTTTTACGGCATCTTCGGCAACTTTAGACAAAACTGCTCGGTTGCCTATGCGAGCTGAGTTGCACCTGCAAAGAACTTTTGTCACACAGCGTTCTTCTGCATTGCCTCGCTGCCCAACTGCTACACTGCCACACCGTACTTATCCAATACGACTGATGGTTGATTGCATTCATTTGTGAGGACAAAAGTGTTCCTGCGTATCAACATGCAAGGTTATCAACGTGCTGTATCTTAATAGCAGTTTGTGCAGTTACGGTTGCGTCATGCTACAAGTGTAAGCTTGCTAGCCAAAGGGTAATTTGGCCAAAGGGTAAAACGTGGAGGAAAATGATATGTGCATCATTCTTGTAGGGGTTGCGATTGTGGCGAAGCACATGCCATGGTGCGCTGTCAACTTCAAAGAGCAGAAATCATTAGGCAGCAGTCATTGAGCAACGATTCGCCCCAACACTTGTTAGGCAACAGTTGCTACCGAATGTTGATATTATGCCTTACGCTCCTTTGTTGACGTTCTGCCAGTTCAGAGAACAGTATTATCACAACTCATGCAGAAAGAATCATCGTCCAAGTAAGGACAAAAAGGATCAGGATGACTCAAGACGATCAACTTTGCCATTACTGCGCCGATCTCAATCCCACGTTTTATTTGAGGCGTTTGTTTGTTCATCTCGATATTGACAAGGCCGTTTACCCCAGAGCTGATCGATCTTTCGCTGATATGCTGGAGAGGAGGGAGACATGCCCACTTTGCCGCCTTGTCTTTCGTGCGATCGAGCATAAGGGCCTTGATTTTCGTCGGCGTACCGAGACAGAGCAGATGTCCGCCAGACTGATCTACAGATATGTGCGGCCTCAAAATTTCATCAAGTCAAGAGACAAGTTCGAAATATCGGTTACCACGAAGGCACTAGAACCCTCGAGCACTGGTGTTGGAGAACTGACGCTTGAGAGTCTGCTTTTAGAGGTGGTCTGCGATCGTTCCCTTGTTGTCGCACAAATTCACATTTCAATGCACAGCAGTTCTCCCGTGCCTGGCAATCTCTTTCGGCTCACTATTGAACCTCCGAAAAAGTCCACCAGGGTTGGGAAAGCTGACTTACAATTCATCAGATCATTGATGAGAATGTCGACCAATGAAGATAGACACTATCTCAATCAGCTGTCCCCGTGCCTAGAGGCTCTCAATTTCTTGAAAGGTCGACCAGTGAAGACAAAGGTTCCTATAGAACTCATCAGAACCTGGATTGACTTCTGTACTACCCACGGCAAGCAATGTCTTCCCGCCCCATTACCATTGTCGCTTCAGCCATCAATATTACTGATTGATGTGGAGAGGAGGAAAGTGGTCTCGCTTTCCGACGAGACTGGCGACTTACCGAGGTTCGCTGCACTAAGTTATCGTTGGGGTGGGAAAGATGTACGACAGATCAAAAATACCAGAGACCAAAACATGTCGAGCCGACTCAAATCAGACGGGGGCTTATCAGATGACTGGGACGACATACCGTACACGATCAAAGATGCCATGACGCTATGTCACCAACTTTCCATCCCCTTTCTCTGGGTGGACGCCATCTGTCTTGACCAGGATGCTATCAAACCCGACCATGGAGTGCCCGACCCATTTGACGCCATGGGTACGATCTATGCATCCGCTCACTTGACCATTGTCGCTGCAGCTGGAGAAGATTCATGGGCTGGACTTCAAGGCATCCGCGAGCGTCCAAATTCCGACGTTGAAGAGCTAGTCGACGGAGTGCGATTGGCACTCTATAGAGGTCCTATCGAAGATCGCATCCGCAATACGATATGGAATACTAGAGCATGGACGTACCAGGAGGCGGTTCTATCAAAACGACTACTCGTGTTCACTCCCAAAGAGGTCATATACCTGTGCGATGATAACCGGGCTTATCGCGAGAGCATAATCGGAGAGCACCCCCGTCTTCATGGATATGTCTCAATTCCTAACCTTGAATCACCCTTTAAGCGGCGTCTGAAGGATGTCACCGATAGTTCGTCAACTGGTTCGTCAACTGCCAGTGGTGGTGACGTACATGGTGAATTGGACGATGCGAGACGGCCGTCCAGCAGAGTCCACGAGCAATATCTCTGGCTGTTATCTGAGTACCTGCATCGAGCCACGACGCTTGAATCAGATTCCTTGAGGGCCTTTGAGGGTATCATGTCGAAGCTCAAACTAGCCACTGGCTGCACATTCTTCTATGGATTTATGTTGGACTTTTTCCTTGAGAGCATTCTTTTTGATATGTCTCTAATTCATCTCCGATACCGTCGCACAACTTTTCCGAGCTGGAGCTGGAGCGGTTGGGATACCAAGGGCAAATCTTCTATCGAATTTTGGAACCCTTTATACATCGGATGGCTCGCTCCAATCACACAGTTTTACCGATTTGACCTTGTGAACAGTTTGACTAGCTTCGGTGGGGACGCTTGTTCGTTCATCGCAATTGGAGATCCGCAAGCCAAGCTCCTTCTCCCGGTGGGCAACAGAGAGGGATGGAGAGACAAGTTAAAGTACATGCTGGTTTTCAAGAGCGAGACACTGCTTGTACAGGTCGCACGCGAGCCTGTGGATGTGGGTAGTGGAGAGGTATTTGACAGCGATAGCGCAGACCATGACCATAATGACGACGACGATGAGGACGATGAGGACGACGATGACGACGATGACGACGATGACGACGATGACGACGATGACGACGATGACGACGATGACGACGATGACGACGACGACGATGACGACGACGATGACGACGATGATGACGATGACAACGACGATGACAACGACAATAGCATAGCTAACAAAAACGCTAAGATCTCCAATGATAGCGGAGATCTCAGGAAATACCGCATAATATCCCCAGATATTGGCTTCGAAACGATAGACCTATGCCAAAAATGGCGCGAAAGTCAGCCAGAAGAAGTCGAATTTGTTGCGATGGCAACCACAAAGGTTTGCCCCAGAGGCAACAAAGGTCCATTTGGAGGTGGAATACTCGGGGACGATCTACACCGAACACCAAGGGTCGTAACATTTCTCATCGACACAGATCGCACAGGGATTTCTCGCCGAGTAGGATTATACCAACTAGAAAAGAAATTCTGGGAGAAAGCCCGGACCAGGGAGCGAATGGTGTATTTATGTTGAAGACCTTTGATGTCAGGGGATGGCTCTACATATGATGCCATTTCAAAACATCGAGCGATGAGGTAGTGTTCGACATCTCGTTCCAGGAGCGACACTTTCGCCCTTGATTGTATCGGCTTAGAGGCTGACTCACGGCAAGGGATTTGAAAATCACCTCCAGGCAGCAGCGCTGAGAAGCAGGGCTTTTGCTAGCAAGAATGATCAAGAGGGAGCCCGGAAAATAGCCCTTCAAGTATGTGAAACACTGAAAATTGAAACCGAGGGGTGTACTTGTGGGAACCCCTCACAGACTCAGGGCCGTGCTCACGATGTTGAGGGCACTCCTCGGGCTGGCCAGGCCAATGTCAGGATGGTATAGCCACCCCTCAGAGTGACTTGGTCATCGCTCAGGTCAAATGGCGAGTTGCTCAGTTCCGGAAACGGAAACTCTGCACAGGTCAGTTTTCGCCATAGTATATTGGGCTATAGCAACAGCATTCTAGATTGTAAATTATCGCTCTTGTTTTCCAGTCGTAGCATAAAATAAGAGGGGGAGAAGTCGAGATATAGCGCCAAGAATCTCAAAGTCTCACTTTTTTGGTAGCGACCTCACTAGGCTACATAAGAGGTTGTCCCGCAACAGCAAATACCAAAGGACAACATTTTGCACCTGAGTTTAGTCCTACCCCAGCTGTAGCTTTGTGTTCAAGGCCAGCCCAGTCGCACAGGGGGGGATCTCGGCTCTAGATCATTGGATGAACTAGTCATGGGTATCAGTGGAAGTGGTGGTGGTGACGGTCTACGGCTGAGACGCTGCCAAAAAGGCCCCGGGACTTTTGTGCAACGCGGTGCATCAAAAGAGCCACGACCCTGACCAAAAGGTGGTCCACCTTGTCTTTTCGGCAGGCAGTGGCTGGCAATGGACACGAAATGGTGGAAATTATTTGCCCTGAGTTGACGCCTTGGTTAGCCTCACTTGTTGCTGGGCGCATGACACGAACTTGTCAGTGAGTGGCTGGAGCTCGCATCAGGCAGAGTCTGTGGCCCCCGCGAACAGGCCAGCGAGAAACTGTCCGTGCATTTTAAAAAGACATTGTGTGGCCAATAGGGACGAATACTCGTGCATGTTGATGCCGCGAGTGGTACATTAGAAGTGGGTGGTTGAGTTGAATGAAAATTTGTCTGACTGAGTGATAATATGTGGCACGTGTGGCACATGTAGCACGTGTGAATAGCCACGTAGCCCACTCACTACTCGGTACATATATTGATAAGTGACGGCTCTGGTGGTTGACATAACAGAGAATAAATAACCTAAAATCAGCAAGTATATTTGGATAAACTCTGCGTCTTTACACCCCTTCATCCAGCTAAACTTGGTGTCTATATACAGTTGCCTAGACACGAAGCCAGCATTACATCCCACCAACAACATGCCATCGTAGGAAATGGGAAGTATAAGCCCAACAATCACATGTTGACCAACACCTCCACCCCCAAATCACTCTAGAATCCCTTCTTCTCGGCCACATCATAGTCGCCAAACTCGTCGGGGACAATAACCAAGTTGTCCGAGCGATACGGATCCACCTTGACTTGCCTGAATTTGCGGGCAGAGACTTTATTCTCAAACAAGACATCGAGCTCGGCGTAGGTGAGACCCTGGGAGGGAAATGTGAGTAGTCTGGCTGGCAAACAGGATTAGCAACGTACCTTTGGTTCTGGTAGACGGAAATAGGTCCAGATCAAGCCCAGCAGGTTAAGACCGCCCCAAAAGAAACAAGTCTTTCCACGCCAGCCCCAGGCTGTCGGGTTCATCATGCGAGGCTGAAGCGTCCCGACCACAATACCCATGATATTGTACACGTTTCGGGACAGGACGACAGTCTTGATCCGAAGTCGAGTGGACGGAAGCTCAGCCACCAGCGAATAGCAGACTGGGCCAACCGTAAAATCGTAGATGAAGGTGAGGATGAGAATCAAGGCACCCGAAGCCCAACCGATCGAGGTAGACAGGCTTGGAACTCCAAGACCACCAATAATCATCAATATGACAAACATGGCGAGTTGACCGGCGAGATACAGAGTGCGACGACCAAAGTGCGGCATCAAGAACCAGGAGAAGACAGTCCCCAGGAACCCCATGGCACTCTGACCAACGCCGAGAGAATATGCATTGCTTTCGCTCAGGCCGGCTTGGATCATGAAATAGGTTCCCCATCCGATCATAGGAGATCCAGATGTCTGTTGAATCAGCCACGTGATGCACGTCACTTCAGTTCGTCGCAGGTCAACGCCCTTGAAGCAATCCCAATAATTAGTACCCGCAGTCTGCTGGATCTCCAGCTCGTTGGTGTGGATCATCATGGCCAATGTATCTTCCACGTTGAACTCGGTGTTCTTTTTCGACGTCAATTTGAGCAGGGCGGCCCGAGCTTGGTCCAATTTGCCATGGCGGACTAACCACCATGGGCTCTCGGGTGCAAAGAACGCAGCCGTGGCAATTGGCAACGGCCATATCCACTGGATCGCATAGGGCACTCGATAAGCCCATTGATCGGACTGGTTTACGAAGCCCTTAAGCACTCCAGCAGCAATGAGCTGTCCAATGACCCAGCAGAGGTTGACGTAGGTAGTCAAGTACGGCCTCAACGGAACTGGTGTCACCTCCGCGGCATACGTGGTAGTGAGAGTTTGGAAAACCTGAGGGAAGTAGGTCAGCAATTGTTGCCTCGAAGCACGGTGGCCCCATGGCGAGAATGACACTAGAAGTATCAGCAGGGAATTCAAACTCACCCCCCATGGGAGACCGGACAAGATGTAGCCGGCGAGTAACATCTGCACATCGACGGCGAAGAAGGTGATGAAGATGGTGGCAGTAATAAAGGCCAGTGCGCCGATCATGGTCCAGCGGTATCCGATGCGCTCGGAGATGATGCCGTTGAGAAACAGTCCGATGATTTGAGCGGCAGCAGTGCCATTTGTGAGTGCCGACTGCCATGTCGCCGAAACCTGGTAGGTTTGGACGCCATCGACGATCCCGGCGGGCGACCCATACTTGCGAGAAAATGTGGTCAACCCGAAGAAATTGCCGAGGAGGTATGTATCGTATCCCTCCATGATGACGGCGAGAGAAAGACAGAAGGAGAACATGATGGCTTTAGGATACAACCGGCAGCCCTCACGAAAGCCCATCTTGTGTTCCAATTCTGCGGCAGCTTTGGCATCGGCAGAGAGCTCAGCCAAGTTGGGCACTGCCACTGACATCTTGCGGAGTGTTTCATCCTTCTGGTTGAAAACTGCCTCTTCTTGTTGTGCTGCTACAGCGGCAGCCGGCACAATAGAAGACCTTCGTCTGGTTGTGTCGTAGGTTGGTGCCCCCATATTGCTGGCATAGTGGGAGACACTCATGTGGCGACCAGCACGGCCGCCGCCACTCTCTTCGTCATGCGCGAAGCTCATCGTGAGAGGTGGTAAGGTTCAGTCAAGGGAATAGGCTTGTGAAGCACGCAACCTCGGTGGTTGCCGTTCAAACAATCGAATAGTTTGGTCACCGAAGTACCTGGCCTGTGGTTGAGGGAGACGAGTCCATGGAGAAAGGGTTCACTCAGGCAGATATATACTGCTGTGCCTGGGTGATCGAGCTTCCCTCCCTCTGGTGAACCCAATGACGCACTGATTTCTCTAGACAGCTAGGACAGCAGTAAACCATAGCTCTCAGTCGTATCGATGCTTGCCAATAGTAAAGGGGACATCCGGAGAAATTCCCAATCAGCGCAACCCAAATCAGTTGGGTGCTCGCATGATCGAGGTACGAGTTACCCAAACAACGTTGTTGAGAATCCACCATTGGCTTGTCCAAGAGCTTCTTCAGCAAGGCTAAGCGAGCTTGTCAAGGTCAGACGGGTCAGCTGTTGCCGGCTCACAGACCAATCGATCCAAGAGCAAATGGTACCAAGAGGCTTGGATGGTCTCCAGAGCCTTCCCTTAAACGCAGGTAGAAAGGCAGACCAAAAGGAAAAACGAGGCGACGAGCGGTCGTTGGCTGACATGAATTAGCGGTGGACCAGGTGCTGGAGATCGCAGAAATAGCCGGCAAAAGAGTGGAGAGATTGCAAGCAGCCTCGCAATTCCATGTGCCACCCACCTACCTTGTTCACCTTCTGGGGGCGCTACCGCGACCCTCCCTGATCACACACCTCCAGTGGGCCTGAGATGCTTACCAAAAATGGCCAGTTTAGACTCTCCCGGACGTGTCCCAGTTGCTGGTGTTGAGCCAAACCCCGCACTTCTTGCCAAAGTGCCCACTTATGTCAAGCCCCAGATCGTCTCCACAATGTCGATGGCTGGGGCATTTTAATGTCTGGATTTCCAACATGCTTCCGGTCCAATCTGACTCTGGGAGTCTTTTCCCCAAGCATTTTGATGCGGGCAGATGCTGGGCGCTTTGGGTGATCTGGGGGATCACACCTCTTTCCCACATTCCTCGGTGAGCTTCCGCCTACCCACAAACCTTTACCATACCCTTCTTTCGACTTAGATTCGCCTGACGTGCGTTGGAGGATCTGCAATTGAGAACTCCTCTAGATGTGCCGACTTCCGCATGGGATAATTGTGACATGCACACTCTGTAAACCAAATGACTCGGCAGCCATGAGTCTGTATTCCCTTCCGAGGCTGAGACACCGCCAGCGAAATGGTAATCCTGGTAGAAAGTAGGGCTCTTTCTGTCAACCCTGGTCACCCAGAGACATGAACGAACCTTCAGCCTCGACTAGCTGCAGTAGGCTCGAAGAAAAGTCTCTTGTTGCATCGAGATTTGGCATTGTACTGGGTAAAATGAAAAACGTCACCACTTAGTCTGAAGGTACCAGTGGTTTGCGTCAAGGATGTTGTAGGTACATGATTGCCGAACATCCCATGTTGCCTCTCGCTTACACTGCGTCTATCAAGTGACGATCTCCTCGTCACTCTGTCAGTGTGGTCCGAGCCTGACACAGCAAAGGACTGAATCAGGTCGG